TGTTTCGTGATTCGCCAGGTACGGAGAATCAGATCAGCTGTTGCGGCGGTTCTAGAACCGATCACGTGCAGTGGATGACTCAGTGGACGTCGAAACGTTAATGGACGTGCGTCCCAGTAAGCAGGCCCGGCGATCGGTCTTCGATCACGGCCTGCGTCATCTAGCGCTGAAAGTGTTGACTATTGACGCACTCGAATCGAGTGTCGAACGAACAGGTGTCGCGCATCGATAACTCTTCATCTGCAAGCGAAGAAACGCTGTCCCAGCGACACTCACGTCGGTACATGCACGAACAATAGTGACCATTTGATCCGGTCGTGCTTGTCGACGCGACAAAAAAATCCGTTGATAGAAACTTTCGTCTGGCTGAGATAGAGCCGTGTGTCGGACTGTTCGCCCAAGTAGAATGACGATCGACGTCGAAGAAAATGTTAACTACGATCAATGATGCCGTCGACGAGTGACGGAGACATGTTAGGTTTGATCGGCTTCGTATTGAATGGAGAGCAGGTGCTCTGCAGTTATCCACGTAGCACCTAGCTGCTATCAGTAGCGAACTAGCTTTGCTATCAGTGCAGAACCTAGCTGGTGTTGAAGCCTGATCGAGTGAATAAGGGGCCAAGCTGGTATGGCATCACATACTGGCCCAGCAAGCAAAATAGCGTTTGTTTTTAAAGAAATCGTACACTTACAAGATATTGACGGGCCGGTCCTGTAGGTGGGCGTTACTACCATTGCTACTCTTCGTTCATTTCGCTGAATATCGTGTTCATTTGTGTCATCTGCTTGTCTCGTTTTTCTTTTATCTTAGATGATAATGACCCGACGAATCGTCGTGGCATATCATGATTAAGCCCTGACACCTTACTCAAAATCAGCACGGAGGTACGTACGTAACTGCGTTGACAGCTTTCCGCGTGAAGAATATCGAGATGTTTTTGAATGACGCTGTGGATCAAGCATCTGTCATTTCCTTATATTGCTAGCTTTGTCGCGCGCGTTTGCATGGTGGCCGAACCTCGCACTTAACGGTCCGTTTCGTTCATGTCATTGCCGCGACAACGATGCGTAAGTCCTGTGATAGGTGAAAGGACAGTACCGCCACTACAATGATGGTCGCTTGTTCGCATTTTACGCATTCAAAGGCGTAGATAAGATTTGTAGACACGTATGTAAAGAATTTCCGCACTATAATTTTGCCCTGAAGCCCTTGAATCAGAGATTTATTTCGTGATAAAATTGCACGTATTGCAACGTTTCCTACGTCTGATATGTTAGAACCAAGGACAACTGTCTGAATTTTTATTCGCGCCGTCTTTTCTAGTTATTAACGACGCCCCATTTAAGGGAAGTGTCTTCTTTAATTTCTTTGATAGATCAGCTTGATCATAGCCGCGACGTGTGAAACATTCAATCATGTTGGAAGCCTTTGTATGAAAATCAATTTGTGAGCTGCATATCTTTTTTAGTCGTAATAATTGAGAGTGCGGGAGGCTATTCTTAGTATAGCGAGGGTAAAAAGACGAATATATTAGATAAGAATGAGTGTCAGTGGGTTTAGAAAACCCCGAGGTAACTATGTTATAACCATAATAGCAATGTCCAGAAAAGGAAGTCTATCAAATGATGTAGCATGTGTATAATTTAGACAGGGGTGGAAAATGTAACATGCTTGATGAAATTTTGCAAATCGGGAAGTTTCATAGATGCGGCTCCAAAACATCACCAATAATTTTATATCTAAGATAGAGGCCCGGTTTAGATCCAGTGAAGGACGCGCACATTTTGGATTCAATATAACCGACCAAATAATAAACAAGCATAGCTAGGACCCACCTTGGTACCCATAGTCACGCCATTACATTGAGAATAATAATTTCCATTAAAGTAAACCACGTTTTAGTTAAAACAAGTTTAGATAGACGTATCAGGGTATCAGAAGTATGATAATTAACAGACCGCTTGTCTAAAAAGTACCGTAAAGCGATTAAACCCTGATCATTAGGTATCACGGTGTATAAAGATTTTATGTCCAGTGTGAATATGAAATTATCTGGATCATTGTTAAAACAAAAATTCTCAAATATGGCTAGAACATGAGGCGTATCTTTGACGTACGTATGTTGGTAGCGATTGTACCATAGATGACAGCAAGTTTTCTAAGAAAGCCGAGATCTATTCAGTAGAGAAACTGCAGTTAAAGACTATACGACGTCCGGGTGTATCAGGCTTATATATTTTAGGAAGCATATGTAAAATCTGGCCGCTTTAGGTGTTTCGACAAGGAGATTGGAAGCTTCTTTAGAAAGATGGTTATTACTAATCAATAATGTAATTCGGTTTTTGATAAGAAATTGAATTCCAGGAGTTACATCACTGTCAAGTATGAAATAAATTTTTTTATTCGAAAGTTGTTTTTCACCTTCCTTATTACGTGTACAGATCTCGTCTCCATTGAGAGAGAGGGGGAGCGGGGAGCGAGGCAAGGACCGTTCTCGCGGCCCTACTGCGTCGAATACTCGCTCAAGTGAGGCCGGCTGGACATCTAGGGATCGAGAGAGAGAGAGGGGAGCGGGGAGCGAGGCAAGGACCGTTCTCGCGGCCCTACTGCGTCGAATACTCGCTCAAGCAAGTGAGGCTGGGCCGAGAGAGCACGAGGCAAGGAGTAAGGCGGGGAGCGAGGCTAGGGTGGGACGGTGTCGAATACTCGCTGAAGTGAGAATCGAGAGAGCGCGAGGCAAGCGAGGCGTCTGCGGATCGAGAGAGTTTGAGGCAGGGAGATGGCAGAGAGGGTAGCCGCAGCCGTGATTGCAAGGTATAGTGTTGGATAGACATATGTCGATAGACATCAGCAGGGCTAGTACAGGCAAGGCAACAGACAACGTACAGGTGTAACACACGGAGCGGAAGACCGTAGCGACCATAACGCGGATGGTAGCTATCGTGGTACGTCATCGTGTGCCCTTCGCAGGCACCCGAGCAAACACGAGCTCCGCATATCGAAGAGGAATAGGAGGAAGAGGAGGAGGAAGAGGGGGACAAGAAGGACGAGGAGGAGAAGAAGGAGGAAGAGGCGGACTAGAAGGTGAAAGAGGAGAAGAAGGCGAGAGCAGAGACGATCTAATGGAGAGAAGAGTGAAGTGATACGCGGGCTAGTAGAGTGGCTTGGGTGCCCATCTCGTCAGATCTTAGAGCGAGAACGGTGGCAGCCTTTCTAGTCTGCCTGTTACCAGTATGCTATGTGCAGTACGCAGTATGCAGAGACGTTGATGTAGACACTTCCGTATCGCAAGGTAGATGCACATAGTCGTAATGCTGGACAATCTACCTCGATATTAGCTGTACGTGGGATTCTCGAACGTTCGTCGTGAATGAGACCAGATGACAGACGAATGTGTCGGTGAGATTTTCATGTTCACCGCGCTCCAGGCGCGTTTGTTCGCACGCGAGGAGAAGTGTTGTTGAAAAGAGCTTTTGGCCTAGCGCAGTCCTGCGATTTTTGGTTGCTCGTCGCTGCAACCTGCAACCGCAAGCGATCGGTCGGTGTGTGTGTGCGCACACGTGCGATTTAGAAGCAATTCTAGAGCAATTTGGGAGCAATTGAGAGCGACGAGTCGATTTTGATTTCTTGCAACTCGTCGCAAGCGACCAGAATCGCTACGGGTTGCAGTTGCACGTTCCCGCAGACGTAGCAATTTCACCGCAATCTAGAATCGCTGTCAAGTTGCATGAAAAAATCGCAGGTTTGCGGGAATGTGCAACTGCAACCCGTAGCGATTCTGGTCGCTTGTGACGAGTTGCAAACTTGTTTGATGTGCTTCGATTTCGTTCGTGCAACAGAAACGCAGTGTGGTGCGCGCTTCCTCCTGTGGTCTTATTGCGGTCATAATCGAGAAACAGTCCATATATACGAGTTGTTGCGATCGATTGCTGAAATATCATAATATAATATGATTATAAATGGGAGACCATATAAAGTTGATCCTCGGTAACGTGCGGTGGTGTTATGTGGATCATTTGCGATTATTGGCTCGTGACATGACCAGATTACGCACGTAGTTCTGGATACGAATGCGTGCGCGTGTGAATTCTTCTTGCTCAGTGGAAAATACGCATTTATTTTTTTATTTATAGCCTCCTCGCTTACTGCGTCGTTTGGCGTGTTTTGATATTTTGTGTTCAGTGTGTGGAAAACTGCATATATGTGAGTCCGAAGTGTAAATAGCTGTAGGAGTGTAACAGTCCCGTCAAATAGTGATATTCGTTTTGTATGTCTATACATATTGGGTCTATATGGCATAGCCTTGCATAATGTCTTTACAATTGTTCTGATTTGTTTCCCGTATTAGAATTACTGATGGGAAACTCTCTGAAATATGAAATGATAGAAATAGTATAATTAACGAATCATGTTTAGGAAAAAATTGATGACATTGGTTATTTGGAAAATCACGAAATTCAATATCGCTGTTGCCTCCTGTCGTGCTTAGAACCATGTATATATTTGAGATTTTAGGTGTAGATCTGTGTTTATCAGTGAAATCACTTCCGTGGGAAGGTTTCAGCTGTATGAGCGGATAATCTCACAAGTGAACGAGTTGTAATATAGAATTATTTTATAATAAACCTGATATGAAATATTAATTACGAGTTGTGTTGTAATCGCAAGTGTTTCTGTGATAAAGTGTAAATAATACACGGATGAGGAATTGATGCTTCGCTAAGCTATAAGCTAAACATCCCATACGTTTTACTCGTTGTTTATGAGCATGGAAATATCTGCACAGTTCATGTTAGGATCTAAGTCGCAATTTTCAATTCTAGATCTGCTTTTGTGCACGAACCTGTTATTATTCCTTCCTATACGTGGCCTTGACTCGTTAGTTTTCATTTTATTTACCAAAAGGGAGAACCTTTTGTTGATTTGAATTCACACGCAGTAGTTAGTCATTGTTATTAGGGTCTGATCACGAAACTACTGCCTAATTTATGTGCTGAATTAAATTTTCATGCGAAAGCGAGTTACGGAATTTATTTCCTTGTTTTTTTTTTCGTATAACAATAATTACAAAACGCCTAGTCGTTCTTTATTAAGTCAAAA